GTTCGCTATATGCATCACAGGATTTGTTTTTATGCAAATCCACTTTGCCACACTTTATAATGAAATGCGTTCTTCAAAATGGAACAACCAACACAACACACAAACACACGTTTGCTTCGAGTGTATCATATGTACAATGGGTCTTGCTATACTGCTTGGTTCTGATGTGTGACGATGGAATGTGCAGTTGGACTTGTTTATGGCGAGACCTCCGACAAAAAAAAAATACACGTAAAGTACGAAAAACCAGTTTGATTTCTTCAATACACGACAACCTCAGCCGAAAATTTCAGCACTGGAATGGTTTCGACCATTTCACGTTTCGATAATCTATTTCGGATATGTTTGCAGGCATTTTATATTTAAAACATATACTATATGGGAGCTGTTTTCACTTGAACTGGAATCATGTTGACTTTGTCGTATACAAAAACCGATTCTGGATTTGTTTTCCCTACGTTTATTGTGTTCGTATTTTTATCTCTTCATTTATATGGTGGAGACTGTTTATTTATTTTTAAGTTAGCGAGTATTTACTTTTTTAAAGCAATCAACAATGAATACACAAACAAAAATTGACTGCATTCTTGGTACGAGTATTTCTTGATTTGCAGCAAGTGTATGAGCAATAAATCGTATGACCATAATAAATTTAACCTATTAAAGTAAATACTGGTTTACTCTGATGACGACATTTCGAATGATTTTGACTAACTTTCGATTGAAACGGCCAAGATTTCTGGTCGATATAAAATACACGTTAATACAGCACAAAGACGACGTATGCCGAATTGGTTCCATATTATTTACGATATGAATGATGGTGGGTCAGTTTTATGATCTGAATCAAATGACTCAAGCGACGAACCGAGTCTTTTATTTCGTCTCAACTTAATTTACGATACCATTGAAGTATTCAACAAACCCCAAAAACAACAGGATCCCACTTTGTACACAACAGAAACTGGATCCTCCTCATATGGAAATTTACTCAAAAATAATTAATCGAAACTGTTCAAAACAAATGAATAAGAATAGTGCCAAACATTCAGGGCTGAGAAATTAAGAATTTGTAAACCTCTTTTTCACAAAACCACTTTTTCTTTGGCTCTTAATCCTCCAGTATTATAACCATCAGTGGATATCAATGCATATACCGTCGATTTCGAAAATATCCAAATTTTTAATATATTCTACCATTTTTTATGTTTTCAAATGGCGGGAATTCATCAGTATGGTGCGAATGTCGTTAGACACTTTTTCTTGAATCCAAATTCGAATTTGTATCCACTTCATCGACAAAATGAATTAATATGCAAAATATCACGACTTTTGCATAGATGTTCCCAATTTTAATGGTAATTTATTAAAATGGTCTTCTGTTTTGCATCTGATAAACCAGCCATTCAATTCACGATTCCGCCCAATCGAAAGCAAGAAAGAACCGTTGAGTAATGCCGAAGATCTGGTGTCAAAGATTTTTTTTTTCTTTTAATAAATTCTTAGTGAAACGTTTTGTATTTATTAGTTTCGACATCAACCTGAAAACGAGACGCTCAATGTGTCACACACACACATGCTCTAATGCATAACGACAAAAATACCATCAATATTAATGGATTTTAATTCATGGGATGGTATTTTATTTGTTATTTCTGAGTGTAAATCATCACAAATAAAAACCAATTTAAACTTTCAATAAGTCTGTTGTATTGAGTGGCTTACTTGGTGTCTCAACGATGTTGCCAATATTCTTGTTGTCTTTATTTTAAATCGTCTGTATCGGTAGAAGTGAAGAGGCTTAGTTCGGAGTTCGTTTTACCTTGAATCACTTTCAATGCATGCTCCAAAGTGAATACGATGCGAGTACTCTTTGGTAGCATTCAAGTATCGTGTGGATGGGCAAAGCATTTTGCATGAATATCGAATTCGATTCTTATAGAGACATACGCGAGCAACTGCAAAATGTACACCTTTCATTTTCTGTTTGCAAAAAGTGTGCACTCAAAATGTGATTCATTTTTATGGCTCATATTTGCTTATTCTTGAAGATGAAGGTTTATTGACATTTAATTCAAATAAATTCGCCGTTGAAATATAAATTCGCCAATTGTCAAATCGAATTGAATGTTTTGCAGAAATTCATTTTTCAATGCACACACACAATCATTTCCTTGATTGATTGGTGATAAGTATATTTACTAAAAAATGCAACTGAATGAAAGTTTTCAATTAAAAGCGTAAAAAAAATGCTATTTAGACGATTCAAATGAACTGCAAGCCGTTTTTTTCCACATTGTACACAATCACTCAAATATTGAGTTTTACTTTTTTGCTTATCATGATCTGTGCCTGTGTATGGCATACAGCGTATGCTCGCCACATTTGCTTGAGTTTCGCTATATGCGGTATCCGTTAGTCTCGATCTCAGGTCATAATAAGGAAAAGTTTCGAGAAACTTTTATTTGATGCTCAGAATATGAATGTTCATTGTGGTTACATTCAAAGATTTACGAGGACACAAAAACTAATTCCATTCGGAAATTATTAAATACCTATGTAAAATTTACATTGTAAATCAATTGTTTATTATTTAAATCTATTTTGTTCATTTGGTTTTATTATCTTCAAAGTTCAAGACCAAAAAACGAAAACCAATTAAATATGATTTTGATTTTGAATTCAATCAGAAAAAGAAAAGAAATGGAAAATTTCTATGAAATAGAAACTTCATGGCGGTAAGGTTTTCATCATATATATATTTTTTTTGTCATTTGTAGTGCATGCAAAAGTAATTGATTTTTTTTTGTTTCACAAAAGCCGGGAAATATATCATCTCACACAAAATCATTTCATGTGGAAATGTTTGAAATGAGAAACCAGCCGTTGAAGAGAAAAAGTTAATCGCATTCAGCTGTTTGTATGGTGAATGTGACAGCCACAGGTGCAAAAAAGGCCGACATTCAATTGCATTGAATGACTTCTCTTTGCCGATTTGTAAATGCGGTAAAACGACATAAATTTTTACAATACACCAAATGCCAACGAGTAGGTTAAATGGGAGTTTGTTTTTGTCCCAAATAAAATGCAATGCATGAAATGTAATACTTGTGCGCAATGAAAGTGAAGTCGTCCTTTTTTTCATTCTTTCTCTCTCTCTCACTCTCACATAAAATGCAGAGGCGAAAGTCGTGTGTAGATTTTACAAATCGATCTTGGTGAACACACATGAAGATCGTTTACGCTCTCTCAATGTACAAGTCGCTTCAATGTATATATTATATCACGTTGAGCGATTAAGAAATTGAAGCGAATCAAAAACAACCGTATTAAACGAAACCGTTGAAGTTTTATGGTGATATTGAGGAAAGTTGTAACGCATCCCACTTGCATTTGTTTCGCTTTTGATGAATACAATGTCATTTCATTTGTACGCGATATAAAGTGCGTTTGCTGTTGTACGGCCATGAGTTGCGTTGATATCAACGACATTAGCATACATTTCTTCTTTGGCTAAGAATGGCGGCCGAAGCGTTTTTCTGGCAACTGGTTTGTTTTTGTGGTATGATTTGGAACAAGCTCGCTTTGTAATCAATACGTGATAAACACTTTCGTTCGGAATATGAATAAAGGAAAAACTGGCTGAAATGTAGACGTTCGTTGGTGCAGAAGCTGTTTGCACAGCGAGTGCATCTCTTGATGAGCAAAGAAAGGAAAACTGTAAAAGAAATTTTTCGAAAGTTTAAATCAACGCATTGCTTACACACATTTTTGCGCTGAATGGCACTGGCGAATCCAGATATTTAATGAAAAAAAGAAGAAAAGAAGAAGTTATCACTTATCGATTTTTATGTGAATAAACGAAAAAAAAGATGCACCGCTCACTAGCAATTTTAGCCATAAGTAATCAATTTAAGTGAGTCGTTTTGCAGCCACTGCTCATTTCGATCAGTTTACAGAAAATATCACTGCAAAATTATTAAATTTTATTATCTTTTCCGTGTGTTTTCGTTATGAGTGCTTTTCAACGATTCGATGATTTTTCGCTTTGTTTTAGTTTTGTGCACATTCCCTTCTCCACTTGGCCCATTTCATTGGGCATACAAAATTTAATTGAATATAAAGATATTTGGAATTACCGAAAAAAACGTCTACAAAAACAAATGATTAAATAATAACATTGCACCCAACATTGCAGCGAATTCAATGAATATTTGATTTGCATAATTGCTCAATCGCCACTATCGAATTTAAAGTCAGCTCGATTATAAAGCTGAATGCGATTTATATGATTGGGATCATTTGAGAAGGCAAAAAATTATTTATGCGATATTTAACCTACATAAATTCATTTAGTTCGTAGTTTTGCATGTTGTCGAGAATCAGCAGCCCCCCATTAATTTTTGTGATATTTCATTTTTTTTCAGTTGCAAGCATGAAGCGAAATATAAAATTTGATATACAAAATTCAATTCCAAAGTCCCACATTGGACTTTCGCTAAAATTGTTGCTGCTGTGATAACACTGCTTCGAACATTTGGCCTTTCTGCGCAATAGAAAAAATCGATTGGTTTCTATTTGTTTTAAAATATGCAACTTAATTTGGTGGAACCAGTGATAAGCTTCGAAGCGCGTAAAATATTCAATTCGTCAATCATGCGACCAAAATATTTAATAAATCACGTAATCAATTTACTTTGATTGATAAAGTGTTTCTATTTTCAAAACAATTGAATTGCTAACTTGTTCAATGTTCACTTATTATCGATATTAATTGAAACGAAGTTTAAACCGAAATTCACGCTTCATTTTGATCGCTTGAAATTCGAAAGGTGCTATTAAATTTAATAACAAAAATAAGTTTTTTTTTTCAAATTCTGTGATATTGGATTTCATTATTAAAATTGTTCTGCTTCATTTGAATATTAAAATTTATTTATTAGTATTTCATAGTTTAGAGATGTAATTTTTATTTAAAAAAAATTAAGAACTAACCTTACTTTTAATTTAATTCCAACGAAATAATGAATTTTTTTTAGTGTAGTACAGAAATATGTGATAATTGATGATAAAAAAATGTCACACTTTGTTCGATCAGGCGGCGAAATGTTGATGATAATTTGATAGCAACGAGTTTTTTACGAAAAGATTTTTTTCTTCTTCACGTTCTTTGAATTGGTCCAACACTTGATCACGCGATAAATCCTTTCACTTTTATTTGTCAATTTGCGAATTCTTTTTTTTGGATTCAAATCTCAAATTAAGAGAATTGTTTTATTTCCACTTTAAAGTCAATGCTATCTATATTGAATGGCCTTCGAAAAATCAACTTCACTAAAGCAATCGTTGTAAATCAAGAGCAAAATCAAAAATGTACAATTTTATTGTCACAAATTCTTTTCACAAATAAACAATAATTAAATTCTTATGTTTGGCTCTAAATATTGAATTAACTCAAATCCTATATCAGATTGCAGCGGATATGATGGTTGTGGTGGTGGTAAAAATCCGAATAGTTTGAATTTAACGAATTCTCATAAATTTCAATTTCAAAAAATCAAATTCGTAACATCAGAGAGTTAATGGACACCTGAACACAAGAGAGTTATAAACTCAACTGACTTCGGCGTTCGAATAAGGTTTGTATGAGCACCGCTTGAGTCCGTTCACAGTCAGCGTCAACGAGATCGCATGTGTGTTGCTCAATACCTACCTGAATTTGTGTATGTGTGTCTATTTTTTTCATGAGTTTTGACGGTACACACCGCTCAACAGGTCGCTAGCAAGACCAAGTGGAATATGCCGGATTTTGTATGTGTATGTTTGCATATGATGTGATCATTGCATATCAATGTTTATAGCACAGCAGAAGCAGGTATGTGTTAATGGTGCGTGTGAGGTTCACCTTTGCATTCAGACATTCAATGCACTTTGAAGCTTCTTCGATCGTCTTCGTGAATGCATACAATTTATGTACGAATCGCTTGCAAACATGCTCGAATGGTTCACTGTTGAATTATTATTATCTTTGGTTAGGTCTGGAATCGGAATTGAACTGTGAACGCAACACAGACTGAAACCATTATGCATACCAAATAATGTATCATTATATTGTTGGTTTTCGTTTTGGTGGTGTTTCACGGTTTTAGGTTTGAATGCTCGCAGCCTATTTGGTGCGTCCAGTACAGACATCATCTATATACATTGAATTCTATTTCTTTTGCAGACCCTCGATCCTACTCATGTTGGCGAAAAACGAAAAGAAACAAACGTATCCGATATATATCACCCTACATAAATTCGGCCTCGTCTTGGATTAATTTTCGTATGCATTACCTATGAGTCATCCATGCAACGTTTCTCAATATATCGTGATCATCTGATTCGCTTCGATACAGTCTTTGCATTCTTTTTACCTTATTCCCTTTTTTGTTTTACCTTCCTCTTCAGAATCGTATAATTAGTGTATTTTTACTACATTTTAAATAAAAAAGGGACCGTAAAAAGTGGTGAGGGACCGTATATATGAAAATAAATAACACAAAGTATATGAAAATTAAATGAATAATTCAAAATATGTAAAGCAAAAAAAGTGACTACGATTATTGAAATTCGAACAATGTTTTTTTTTTTTCGTGGATACATACATTCAGGCGCTTTTAATTTTGTTTTGCAATGAGATATTCTTAGTTTGAACATTGAGTTACGAGCAGGGATTTCGAATTATGCGCGATAAATGTCTGAATTATTTATTTAAATATGTACGTTGTTTGGATTCGAAACAAATATTGAAAGTTGTTGATATACAATGAATTAATATTTATGCGCGAAATAAATTAGAACCAATTACTACGAAATATTGTGTGGATCATTTTCTCCTAAAATAATCGAACGAATTTGTGGTGTAAAATAACGTAAGTTTTTGTACATACTTCAATGCTTCAATTTTTACCCGTCATTTATAAATAAAATGTTGTTTATTCTACGATTTATTTGTTCATATAACAAAATAAATTTGTTCATTAAACGAATTATTCGTCAAACATTCGTCATGAATAATTTGTACAATGTACGACAGTTTTTTATTTTGTAATTATTTACAAAATGTTTGTAATGCTTATAAAATATTCAAAAACAATTTTCACAATTTTCAAAGTATTTTTATTCAACATTTTAATCAATGATCCGCCACTGATTACAGGCTCTGCTTTGATACAGATTTTATATCACTTCACGTTAATGTCTCGAAATAAAACGAATGTGATTCAATCAAATTAATCGAAAGATACACGTGGCGGCACAAGTGTGTGTCGACGTAACTATTTGTTAGTAAAATAAATATGACATTTTGTCGCTGTCAGTGCTTTCCACATAACATTGCTAGCAAGCACATGTGCAACAAAACAAACTTGGTTGTGAATTGTGTTCTTTTCAATTTTGTTCAATTTGTTAACGAATTAATTTGTGTAACACAATGCAAATGAAAATGGATAAAAAAATGACGCAAAAGTTTGATAAGCAGCAAATTCGTCGAATACTTGAATTTGAAAATGAGTTCATTTCATCATTGTTCGACAGTTTCGAAGTGCCAGATTCAATTGAAGGTAAATCATAGAATAAATATTCCTTTTTTTTCTTATTGCTGATCATAAATACCGAATACGATAATATTAATTTGTAGATGAGACGTTCGATGAGCAATTTCTATTGAAAACAAAAGAAAGAGCGGGTAAAGCAAAATTAAATGCGCGTAAAACAGAGAGTCAGCCGTCAGTGGACATGGAACAACGTTTAGAAATCATTCGCAATAAAATGAAGAGCAAAAAAACCAAGCCTTCAGCACGCGCAATCGAAAAAAAGAAACAGAAGAAATTGAAAAAAACCAAGGAACTGAAGAAAAAATTAATTAGCGTCGCCAAATCGCTGAAAAATGAAAAGGTCAAGGAGGGAAAGAACGTAAATTCGTCAAATGTTGCGGAGAGTAATGGTGTTGATGTTACACCAGATCCAGATATTAAACCGGACATTAAGCCAGCTAAAGTGTTTAACGAAGAAGGAAAAATGGTATTTTCGAAGTTTGAATTTGCAGCACAGGCTAGCAGAGCAAAGAAGACGAAAAAAGATAGTAAGAAAATTGATTTTTTTCGACAACTTTAAATGCTAACAAGTTTAATATTTTATTTAGAAACAATCAAGGATCCAAAACTGTTGATAAAGAAATTGAAACAGGAGAAGGAGCAAATCAATGAATTGGTGTCACAAGGTGAAGTGGAAAAGGCTGAAGAGTTGAAGAAAAACATTGCCTGGCAAAAAGCATTTGACAAAACTGAGGGAAAGAAGGTATAAACTTTTGACATATCGAATCTTCCGACATATCGAATGTTGGCTAAAACTGATCAATTTTTTTTTATTTTCAGGTGAAAGATAACGTCAGTCTTTTACACAAAACGCTCCACAAAAAGAAGGTAGAGAAGAAGAAGTCGAAAGAACAGTGGAAGCAACGTGAACAGAAGATTGAAAAAGAGAAAGAAAGCAAGGCAAAACGACGTGAGGAGAATATCAACAAAAAGAAAGACGAAAAGAAGAAACACAAGTTGAAGAAGGCTTCCAAACGTGGACGGGTCATTGCCGGCTATTAGAATCTGTTATCAACTAGCAAATGAAATTTAAACTAATTTTAAATTACGTTCAAATGAAAATAACGCATATATAAAATTTACCCACTGTCAATCACTGAAATGGATACTAGTGTTCATTTGCGTTTATTGAGTTCAAATAAATTTTATATTTTAATTACGAATAAAACGTTTCTTTTTCAGAATGGTTAAAATGTTTATTGATAGAGAATCACTGTGTGGTGATTTATTGCTTAAATGCTTTGCACAACATCAACATCAACAACTACTGCTACAGTATAAGTTTATACACATATACATTTATTTAAATAGACGTTCGTAAAATAGGTATGGACAATTCCATATGAAGAAATACAGAATTCATTTGGATCTTTTTTGTGATTTAAATGGTCTTTTTCAAAAAATATTCGTAGAAAATAAGATCGGACATTATTTGAATCGATAGAATTTTTACAGACTTTTAAGATCTTGGCAGAATAATGGGTATTTTTATTTGGGAAACACTTTCTTGAATAATAAAACTGATCGGCATCATGTTGAACCAACAAGTAAAATCGTTTCCGATTTTTAGTATTTGTATCGATAGCTATGAGGGACAGCAAAAAATGGAAACTCGTCATAAAAAGTATTGGTCCTATTTACGGACTCACCCTTTCACCTGTCAGCCAGTTATGAATACCGTCCAAGTAAGATGTGGTAAGTACATATGTTCCGACTTATAAAAAATCTTCGCAATTTTTCAAAAATCGAAGAAACCACATTCTCTGATGTTCGAAGTTGAATAAAAAAGTAATTATATAGATCCCATTTTCCGTCTAATATCTTCCAAACGGACCATGTAAACCACACAAAAGTTGAACATCAATGTGAATTTTGTATTCATTCGTGTGGAATTTCCGAGTTGTATATGAAGAAATATATTCGAAAAAATAGCGGCTAGCAATTGGAAGCATTTCTTTCACTCTCAGATAGAACAACTCATTGTCACATTCAAGAAGTAAAGATACAGATTTTTGAAGGAGAATAAAAATTAATGTCTTTCAACATTTCACACAATTTTTGTTTGTTCATTTTAAATATAAGCAATTCACCCGTGTCGTCAATTCACGGTAGGAACATTACTTTCGATGTTCGAAGGACTTAAATGCACTGTGATTAATGATGATTGATTTATTTCAGGAAGGATTTAATTTGTTTCGATTGATGAGCCATGGAGTATTGTGCATTTTCGGTTTTCGTCAACAAAGCGTCAAGACTATCAAGTCCGCTGGACATCTTTGTTTGCATATCTTGCTTGGATGGAGCAGAGGATTTGGTAGTATTATCTGGCTGACTTGCGTCAACGTCCACTTGTTCTTCGTCAGTCGCCTCATTTGTGTCAGGTGTTTCGCCACCCTCACCTCCCTTTATTTTTAGTAAATTGGTCAAACTGCCACATACTTTCTACAATGCAACGGTAGAACAAATAAGATTTGTTAAGTGACAAATGCAAAAGACTTACCTTGAACTTGTTAAGTCGCATCTGAGTGATGGATAAGATGTTTGTTATTTCATCCATTTTACTTGTGCCCTCGTTTTGTTTCTCATTTTGAATATCTATCTCCTGCAAAAGTATAAACATTTTGATATTTGATATAACAAACGAAATTTTTTCATTTTTTCTCTATGTTTTTTTGCAACTTCAATAGAAAAAAATTGTTCAAATTATTTCTGAAATTCCAATAATCTTTTATCAAAAATAGTTAATTATCACACCGTCATTTGTTCAGCCAATTCATTTTCTTTGCGTACACGATTAGCTTCCTCCCAATCATCCCGATTCGGTGGATTAATTCCCAGCAGCTCAGCTCTATTGCACTCATTTTCATAGGTACCTTCAGCCATTGCGTACGTCCAACTACAAATATGTAGTAAATTGTTAACGTTTCTAGTTTTGGAATAATTTCATTATTCACACTTTTTATTCATTCAACTTTGTCATTAGAAAATATAATAAATGTAGAGATTTTTTTAAACTAAATTTTATTTAAAAATTTTATGCGCGTGAATTACCTGTTTATTATTAAAACAAAATGTTTACGTTCTTTGGAAAAGCTCAACACTCTGTGTATGGTATGGACTATCTGCAGTGTTTTTACTGCAGAAAAATCTGGTGAATGTCAATAGGAATTTTACATGTAAATAACGATTCTCGCGCATGACATTCTATTCTAAATGCGTATTTAATCAAAATAAATTACTGCTTCTCTATGCATATGACTCATCAAAGCTAAAAAGGTAAAAAATATAGTCAAAATGAATGCACAAAAATCCTGATCTCGAACTCAAATTAAAAATCAATTATTTAAAAGTTTGACCTCAATAGATTAAAATCCAAAAAGAGTTGTTCTGGTCCGTATGTTTTGATTAGGTCACGACCTCTGTTGGTCGTTTTTGAAAAGACTTTCCGTTGAATTCAATTCTGACACATGTCAAACTCACATTGAAATTTCGTTTGTATTGAAATCTCTTCAACCAAGTATTACTTGATGTACATTCTATTTTGTTTACTTACAAACATTTTTACGTTGTGCTAAACGTACATTAGATAAATTGTAATTATAAATATTTTCTTTAAAATTTCGTGATTTTTTGTTGAATAAAATTTTGTATCGGTGTTAACAACAAAATAGTGAAAATAATGTCGTGTTGTATAATTGGATGTCCTAATGAAGGAGCGTCAGCATCAAAAGATACAACATATCACTTGTTTCCGCATCCAACCAAGGGTATTTTTCGATTTTTCCAACAAAATGAATGTGTCATCATGTGAATGTTTTGCTTTCGAAAATTTCAGATGCAACACGATTTAAGGAATGGATTGACGCTTGTAACAATCCACGTATTCAAAACCTGGACGCAGTGTCTGTGCACAAAAGATATCGTATTTGTCGTCGTCATTTTGATGCTGATTGTTTGAATGGAGGCTGTCGTCGGCTATTGAATACAGCTGTGCCTACACTTTATCTAAATTCATCTAAAGATAGCTCGCAATCGGAGACAGTGAACAGTTTGGATCCAGTACAAAGTGAAATAATTTATTTACCTATAGCGGTCAACGATAGTGACGAGCACTTTGAATTGATGTTGACAGAAAACAAAATATATGATCAACAAAGTTAGTGCATTTTCTTAAAGTTAGTTACATATGTATGAGATGTATGTAATTTTTCATTTATATTTTTTAGTTTTGAATACAAATGCACCAAACAAACGAAAATCGGAGGAAAACCAACCATTAAGAACAAGTGGAGATAAATATGGCTATTTGAGAGAAATTCATACTAAACACAAGATTAAAAAGCTTAAAACCGAACCAGAGGAAGAAGACGACGACGAAGAAGGTAAAATGACCGTGAAACTAGTGCATTTGCATTGAATTATTCATAAATACATGCATATCATTTCCAGAAATCAACAAAGAAGATTCTTCTTTACGTAATCTCAGTGCATCTAATGAGTTAGAAATGCAATACGAGCTATTAGACGTTGAAGACGCCAAATATTACAAAGGTGAGCATATTTTTTTTAACATGAAAACCGATAATTTTCAATTTTTGGTAATCGTATAAAACATTGAACGCTATTAAACGTCATTTTTATCACGCTAACGCGTTGATGTCGCGTGTGAGTGCGTCTAATAACGCGCTGTCAATTTCAGCAATGACTTTTCGTTTCTGAATGAAAAAAAAAGCAACAAAGCGAAACAGAGCAATTACTCCACCACAATGCTGGAAAGAGATAAGCGTAGATGCGTGCATAGCCGCAATGAAAATATAAATAAAAATTTGTACGCAAGAGCTATAAGAGAAATATAACAGATGACATTTCATCATTTGTACATTCACGTTAACTGTGCATAGTCGCCCATATTCGATTCTGTTTATTTTTTTCCTCTTCTAAATTGTCTGACGTGAAAACGAAATAATTTTGTATTTTTCCGTTCGAATTTCGTTAGACAATTTATTTGAGTTTCAAGTGTACGGTTCATAGTTTACATTTCAACAAAAAAAAAAACCAACCGTTTTTGTTTCATATAATTCGATTTGCTTCTCATCTTATTTGTGTTGATCACCGTAAATTTGAACAAAAAAAATCGAATAGTCCTATTGCTGTGCAAGAGAAAGTAAAAATACCAAACTCCAGACAGAAAGTAAAGTTTAAGGCAATTTGAAAAATAAGAACAATAACAGCAATTAACATCGTCGCGACAAGAAAAATGAATCCAGGTAATCAAATAAATAATTTTTACGATTTTTCTCTCGTCGTATATTTTACAGATTTATCAATGCCGTTTATTGATCGCATTAAATAAAATCTTTTTTTTTTCTCTTCTTCACATTCACTTTATCGTGCGTATGAAAAGTTTATTCTTCATTCCGGCTGCTACGCTTGTTTATTCACATAAATCTGAGTAGGCGTTCCGTGTGTGCGCATCACAGCTACATACACAATATAAATTTAGAGAAACTAAAAGTTATAAGAAATTTAATCGCCTGTATGTTGTTGCGTTTTCCGTCCGCTTCATCTCCCTCATTCTTCTTCATCGGGTTTCTTTTTTCTTTTCTTTTCTTTTTTTTTTTGTCGAATGAATATCCACTTTCGCTGCTCGCCACCATATTCAAAGACACGGAAATTGTATTGTGACATATTAACGCATATTAATATTGGAAAGCCCACGTCTTAAACCGACTTTAACGATTTAAACAATACAAAACGCTTCATTTTATCCACAGTCAAAACATTTGTTCGTTCGGTCGTTCGGTTTATTTATTTAAATAACGGTGATTTGACTCAGTTTCTTTGTTGAAATCCATCCGTTATTATCATCGATATAGTTCTTTTTTCATTATTCTTTGTGTCACAATATCGTAATAACATAGCTCGGTTACAATTATCCACATTATTATTACGATTTTTCTATAGTCGCCTATTCGGTGATAATAGTTTGTGGTGGAGAATTTTCAGTGGCGTGTTCGTTTCATAAAAGTAAATAAAAAATCAACAAATAATTTGCATTCAAGGGATTGATTGTAGGTTTTAAACCATAACTATGCAAAATAAATGTAAACAACCGTTATTGCCTCGAATAGTTTTGTTGTTGCTTGGATGACATCACTTTCGTTCGTTTTCGCGTTCTTTTGTATTTTCATTTTGTGCGGCACACTCGACGTGTATGATTATCATTTCTGCTCATCGAGTACATTAATCAAAAAGTCAAGTAAACATGATTAAGTAAGCAAATGACAAAAGATTTCTTTCTGACACATAATGAAATTGACAAAAAAAGAGTTTACTACGTGACAATCGCCTACTTTCTATCTCTTGTTCAAGAGTCAATGAATTTATATGAGCACATACTTGTATCGGAAAGTGCAAAAAAAATCTCACATCATTTCCTTATCAATTTTGTGTACATAGTACTGTTTTTAACTTTGTAATCGTTTGTACAATTGGAAATGGCAATTTTATCGTTTGTTCGTTGTTTTTTTTCTACTTTTTCATTTGCAGCTCCATTAACCGATGAAGCGTTTCAGCAATGGCGCAAAGATTTCTATAAATGCGAGAAAAATGTGTTAGCACAAAATGTCTGTTCGCGCATCGATCCATTCGAGGCCGCATTATCGCGTAAAGTTCTCGAGAATACCCAACATGTATTCACTTACAAAGTGGAATCGGAAGGCAAACCGTTGACGAACCAAAAGAACTCAGGTCGATGTTGGTTATTTGCTGCGTTGAATGCTATCCGCATTCCATTCATGAAGAACGTAAGTACAAATTCGAAATAAAATGTAAAAAAAAAACCATCGAAATTTCCAATTGCCATAAATTAACCATAAAATTGTTGTTTTTACAGTACAACCTAGATGAATTCGAATTTTCGCAAACTTATCTCTTTTACTGGGACAAAATCGAACGATGCCATTACTTTTTGAATAATATTATTGAAACGGCTTCTAAAGGTGAAGAGGTCACCGGTCGTTTAGTTTCATTTTTGCTGACTGTAAGTGAATTTTTCTGATTTTTTTTTTTCAAAACATTATTTTTGACTATCACTGGTATCTCTTTCTTTTTATAGGATCCAACGTGCGATGGTGGACAATGGGATATGGTGGTGAATTTGATCAAAAAGCACGGTTTGATGCCGAAAAAATGCTATCCAGAGACTTATTGTTCGGAGGCCAGTGTGCGCATGAATGCCATTTTGAAAAGTAAATTGCGTGAATATTCAAAAATTTTGCGCGATTTGGTTGTTGCCGGTAGTTCCGAAGATGATGTCAAAGCCAAACTCAATGAACAAATGCGTGAAATTTACAATGTGGTTGGCATTTGTTTGGGCATTCCAAATGAAACATTCACATGGGAATACTATGACAAGAGTAAAGCTTATCATTGCATCAAATCAATTCGACCAATTGACTTTTACGAGAAACATGTGAAACCACATTTTGACGTAGATAATAAGGTTTGCATCGTCACAGATCCACGGCCAACAAGCACTTATGGCCAAGCCTATACCGTTGAATATCTAGGAAATGTTGTGGGAGGTCGGCCGGTATTGTACAATAATCAACCAGTTGAATTGCTTATGGAACTAGTGGCCAATTCACTGAAAAATGCCGAACCTGTGTGGTTTGGGTGTGAAGTGAGCAAACGGTACGATTTTGCAAAAGTTTGAATTTCAACATTCTTTAATTCGCTAATATTTCAAATTGTTATTGAATTTGTTTTTAGGTTTGCGGCGAAGCAAGGCATCGAAGATTTGACTGTACACGATTTCAAATTGCTTCTGGGTGTTGATATCCAGATTACATTGTCAAAGGCCGATCGAATGATTTATGGGGAATCAATGATGACACATGCAATGACCTTTACGGCTGTATCGTGCGACGTAAGTTAATTAAGTGCGCATTTTTCTCTATCAAAATATCAAATTGCTCAGAACCATTGAATTCTCAAAACAGGATGATGGAAAATCAACAAAATTCCGTGTAGAAAATTCATGGGGCGAAGACCGGGGAGAGAAGGGATATTTGATCATGTCGGCCGATTGGTTCAAGGAATTCGTTTTCGAAATTGTCGTTGACAAGAGCATCGTACCAAAGGACGTGTTAGATGTGTTCAATCAAACGCCAATCGTTCTTCCAGCTTGGGATCCGTAAGTTAATTGTTTATACAGTTTTTTTTTGCCATTAAAAAATATCGCTCACACAATTGAATTGTTCATTTTCAAAACAGGATGGGAACATTGGCCAAGTCTTAAATGAATTACGCATGTTTTCTTCTTTCGTTCAACTTTTCTCGTGTGGATGACATTTGATCATTCATCGCAATTGTGACTGTGAGTGCGTGCACCGCAAATATCCACCGACAGAAATGCAACCACAATAATCGAAGAAAACGTTTAAATATAAAATCAAACATATTCTTATACTAGAGATTTCGATATTTTTCCAAATCCAAATTTTGTTTCACCTAGAACGTCTAGATTTATTTTTTTTTTTCTCTCTTAGTTGATAAAATCCTTTAAATGGATCGTGAAGTGTGAAAATACAACAACAACAACAAAATGCCATCTTAAATGTTTTTGAATGAATAAAAAATACATGATAAATTTCAATGTAACTGTTTTCAGTTTGTTTCTCTTTTCATTTCGTTTGAACAAACTCATTCAGAGACGCATGTGTTTGTTTTATTGCTTGAATAAAATGTTTACGACAATTCGTTGGAAGGGAAATGTAATCGGCCATTATTACTCTGTGAGATAAAGATAAGATAGAAAACGAAATGCTCGTATAAAAACTAGGGCTTTCATTTGTGTTTTCTTGAAAAAGGGTTTCAATGCAATAGACTGAACAAAAAAAAAAAGAAATCTACATTGCAAAAGCATATTTAGAATTTACTTTATGGACAATATTTCCCGTCACAATTAATGAATTCTTTTCGTCAAGAGCAGGAGCGCGGCACGGCATCACAAAGAATTTGAAAGAATTTGTTGGACCCGGAACTTGTGTAGGTAAGTGAAATTATTCTTTGGCACAAAATATGAATAAAGTGTGTTTCGCGTATGAGATGCGCTACTGAATACAGGAATTCAACCATTCAAATAAAAGGGGGAGATAAATAACAGTTGATTATCTCCAGCTCTATTATTCACATAGTAATTATTTTCCCTTGGTATACAATATGGTTCTTCAACTAAAATGCTAAACAAATACCCAGCCTTGAATCGTACTCGGTTTGCTCATCTGCTTGTGGCTTTTGATTGAGATGAATGTACAGTTCTTGTTAGAGTTTTATTCCTCATTTCCTCTTATCATGATTTTGTTTACTCTCTCAAATCACTTTTAATATAAATGTATATATAAGCTAAATGGATACGGAAGTGCTTGTGGAAGTCTGCACATTTTTTCTCTCTCTACCTTCGAATGCAAATATTTCAACAAACGGCAAATTAAGTTTTGTTACCATTCAATCTTACAGAATATGAAAGAAGAAACGGTGGAAAAAAAGATGCACTGAGAGAAAATGCATTAACCCGACAGGCGACAAAAGATAAAATCATAATAAACAACGCCAGTTTCCAACCCTGGCTCAATGGAGTGTGTATCTATATATATAAACATTACAAAGCCGATTCCGAGAGATGCGAGAGCATAAAGCGAGATAAATATATTTGCCGGCAAAACACGTTTAACAAAGCATTGAATTGTCCATTCCCATGGCAATTGTACACACCAGTATACCGTGATGGCATACATCGAAACATCGTTCAACCATATAAACGGCAACGTGAATATGTGCGATGTTCTTGAGACTTGTTACATTGAAAGCATATCAGCTGGGTGTCTATGTGTTATATGAAAACATTCCATAACAAACACAATGTCACATCCGACAAGTACTCGCAAATCCACAAATCAGTTCACATATGCCCACACACACACACTCGAACATGTACATGGTGGCCTGTACCTACACAGGCACAGGCATCCACACTGCAAAACTGTTATAAACACTAAAATTCACTCCACATACCAAACATTTCATGTCTGTACATTGTACATGGATGAGTGCGACGGGAGAGAAGGCAAGAGCGTTCGTATGAATCGCATGTGACGAGCATAAACATAGATTGAACGAATAAGAGAGAATGAGTGAGAGATTTTTGAAATAAGTAAGCGCCAGCCTCGAATACATGCACACATCGTTCAAGCACCAATACATCCATACATTGGCTATGAGTGTATTCAACCTAGACAAATACCGTGTCGTGTGTTTCGTATGATCCGTATTTGCCGTGTTCAGTTGAAGTGGAAACGTCGTTGAGTCAGGGTGTGTTTCAATCAAATTTATTATTTTTGTGTTCAAAATCACACACATCGTTAATTCATTCAGACTTTTCTGATTCTAAATCAAAGTAATTGACGTTTCGGATCGCACAATAAATAGACAAATTTTAACATTTTAAAAATTGATAAATTGAATTTCTGAGTTCGATTCAAGTGCACACTTTTTTTACTACTTTGTGTTTATTATTGAATTTATGATTTTGTTTATATGGTGTTTGAGTGTACGTAACGAACAAACAACAAAATTCGACGATATTATTCCAAATAAGGTCGATTTATCGCAATCCATGCGTAGTTCTTATTTTTTCGTCGTTTTCAAAGCAAACAAACAATTTTTTTTTACAATCAGCGATAAAAAACAAGAGACGAGCTTGAATACAAACGAACTGATGATTACGATGTGTGCATAAAAGTTTTATTTTCACTCATTCATTGGTGTTAATTATGTTTGAAACTGTTAAAATTCTCGTGAAAATTATAAATTGTAATGATATGCTGTCGGCAAAGTGAAACTTCATAGAAATAATTCAATTGCATTTATTGAACTGAAAACTGAATAAAAAAAAATTTATTACCATTAGAATAAATTTTACCCAAACACTTGCGCTCATTCTGAAACTCAGACCGTATATATCGGATCGTGTTGGTTGCATGATTTTAGCCTTCATATAAAACAATTCAAGCGAATTGTAGTGGCTATGCAATATATATATATATATATCAAACTACACACTCAAATTCATTACGTGTATCAAAAGTATCGCACAACAAAATCGTAATAAATTCAATTCAGATAGCAGCCGAGTGAGCAGCAATTGAATAGACATCGAAACGACAGCGAACCACGACGCCAACAAAAAATAATTATTTATATACAACAACAACAGCAACAAAATCAACAACTTGAAAAAAATCACAAAACAGGCGAATATCTAGCAACGACGTTTCCGAGAGCAAAAGAGAGGAGTGACATGTGAGTGTTTTATTTTAAAGTGCTTGACAATTTATGTATTTTTATCTATTTTGCACAATTTCGCCCGTCGAAAAATTCATAAAGCCAACTAACTGGCTAAATGAAATGATTGGATATGTATATTGTATGAACAAAAATAGGAGCATCACCGCAAACGTTCGTCGCATGTGCAATGACTTGGCAAGCCTATAAATTATTATAATCGACTCAATTGATGAGTACTTTCATTGGTCGAATAAATGAGAAAAATATTGAATCTACTTCGGCATAAGTAGAGTGAATGGGTGAGCTTCAATTGAGAAATTTCGGCTTCGAAAATCGGCACACAGCTTGAAAAAAAGTCAAGTCGCCAAATGCGTCTGAAAGAAAGTAGAGATGGTGGCAAAACTTAAAAAACTAGAAATATAGCAAAAGAAATTTAAAAAAAAGTTGAAGACAAGAACATATAAGTATAAAAAACAGAAATGAATAAAGAGAGAACCAACAATGTCCAAGTCTACCTGTCATTTAATGCGGAGGCTTTGCTTGTGTATCTCTCAAATACGATTGCAGACACGCAAACACAGACAAAAGACAAAAACAAACACAGTCACTCACACACACACACATGCCAACGAAATGGCGATTTAAAAATGACGATTTATCCAGTGCTGTTGTCTTTCTTTTTACTCTTCATCATCGTCTTTATTCTGTTGTTTTTCATGCATACACACTAAATTCACTAAAGTAGTTAGATAGCAGATTCTACCGTTGCTGTAAACAATCTCGTCTGTATTTTGTTTGGCTGTATTTATCTGTCTTTCGTTTGTTACACTTTATTCTACTACAAGATACTATACGACTACATTGCTTCTTGTTCACTTAAACGTGAACGAATGAAAAAAAAAATGAACCGACCATTACAACACCGTATTCGCATTCTTCCCATTCAGATAGAGAGGTACGATGGTATGTTACTTCGAAATTCTATTCACAGTCGATTTTCGACAAACGAAAACTTGGAATTTTATCTTCATTTTGTGCGGCAGTGTGTTATTCGGTGGTCGTCTTCCATGTACCTGCATGTATACCGTATCATACTATTTGTCTGTGATTACATTTGTTTCTTTTGTGTGTGTGTATACATAAATATTTTGGCTTACATTTTTTTGGTTGCGTTTCCAAAGCGATCTAAGACCGTTCAATTGGAAGTAATGTTTGCTCTGATGTCAATGGAAATCGGAGAAAGGTTGATTGGCCAAAATGTCAAGATTACAATCGAATTTGTTAAAATAATTAGCTTCACACGTATTCATCTTGCAATTATTCTAAAAACTCACTCGTCACGCGGGTGACAAGAAAAAAAATTACGTAAAGTCAACAAAACATATAATGCGAAAAATCTTTCGCCTTACTTTCTGCTGCAAAGAATTTGGCGAACCAGAGAGACATGCTCACACGCGCACCCAACAAAACCCATATAATATGTAGATTCCGTTCATTGTCATGGAATTTAATATCACCCATTTGTCTCACATCAAATAACATCGTATCATTTTTATTTGTGCCATTAAATCAAAAGATAAAAAAGCTTGAAGCAAAAAAAAAAACGAGAAAGCGGACAAAATTAATAGCAATCATATGCCTAGATTCACAAATGGTGTGACAGAGGTTAAGTGCATGATTATTATTTTTTCTCGACTTCACAGAAACAAATGCGATACGTTCAGTTCAGATTGAAAATAAATGCGCGATAATTTTTTCTTGGATTTTCATAAAAAATCACATTCACTAAAGTGTCGTATTGTTTGTCATGAATTCGGACCGTGGAAAATGGGGGAAAAAATTATTTTCACAAATAAATGAACTCATTTTTCAGAATTTGCGCACCGCTTTCTGTAGCTCTTTATTCGTCGAAAAATAAAACGATTTTATGGATTTTATATTGTCCATTGGTCAATTAGCGTTTATTTTGCGGGGATTATCTAGTTCAATGTACCAAAATTCCGATTACACATTAAAATAGCGTATAGAATGACCTCCTAACGGTAAACTATATTTTTTTTTTTTGAATGGATGCAAAAGCCAATTTTTAGTGGAATTTTCTAAATGATTCTTTTTTTTAAAAAAAAAATGATCGTTTTCACTGCTGGTTTAGATGATTCATTTCATTTGTATTGTCATGGCAAATTAAATACGCGTGCATGGGTTTCACTTTTCTACTATAATGGCATATGTGCACAGATAAAGAAATTAGTCATCTGTGTATCTGATCGTCAATGGCGATTCGTCACAAAATGATACATCGTATTTATTTAGCAGTGACAAATATATAATTTTCAAAAATATTTTCGTTTTTTTTTTATTTCTGTACAAATAAAAGCGTTAAATTTGACGCAAAACAATTTGTATAGCTTACAATTGTGTTTGTCAAATATCTGCGAAATAACGCATTTGCGATTTGAATCATTTCCGAGTGTGTTGTTCTTTTCATCAAATGTATCATATTATATTGAATTTTGTTTCGCTCTCTCTTTCTCTCTCTGTGTTTTGAAAAATAAATACATTGAGATTGAACGTGTCTTTGAGCCTTTTTTAAAAGTCGGTGGAATGAACTAAAATAAAACACAAGAGTGTTTATTGTTTGTTCACGAAACTTAAATTGTTGGTTTTTTCTTAAGACAAGTTTCCGCAATTTTTATGTTGATGATAAATAGAACAATAAATGCACAACAATGCCAGACATTCTTTGATAATCTGGACAAATGGCAAGAGCAAATAAATTGATGGCAATGGGCTAAAATATAATATCTGTTTAGAGAGTGGCAACGCACATCATGTTTGGTGTTTCTGTATTTCACATTGACCCGTCACATGGCATGTGTGCATTCAATATACACGACGATGTCGTGCTGATGTGATGTTGATTGTGCGATGGATAAATAAAGGCGTGTTGTAGGCTTGGATTTAAGTCGCTATATTGACAAAACGGTTATTTTCATTCATAAATAATATATATATAGCGAAATATAGTAGATTTTGTGTGTGTTCACAAGAGCAAATAGCAAACAGCAGCTTGGAAAACCAAAAGGTTCAAGAGAAACCGACTTTGTTTGACTTTTTGAAATTGTACGCCAGTTAATGGGTTATGCAATAGTTCCGTTTGTTTATCGGTATGTCGATTAGACACTTACAAATACGAATGACAAATACGTCTATCAAAAATGGTTAGAAGTAACATTCTTTTTTTGCTTTCCACATCTTTTTTCCATTACAATGAATTTTCATTCAATATTTTGGTATCTAATCAAAGAGCCTACACAATTTTTTCGCGGTTAAATTAGAGAAGACAAAATATAAAATAATCACAACAATTACCATTTTAAAATTGATTTTAACACTTTATATTGGGCGATTTTGGTCAAAATCCATTATTATTTATGAACAATGACAAAAATAGAATTCGACCGTAAACCATCCACCATATTAAAGTGCACAACAATGAAATGAAACATCACGTTGTGTGTATGTACTCGGATTTAACAGCGTCTCTTTGCCGTTGTTGCCGATTCAAAAACCCATTCGAAATCATGACTTTATGACATAATGTACAACAACTTCATTCAAGTCAAATATAGCCAGCCCAACAATTATACAGCACAAACTGTAGAAGATTATTCGTTTTGTTTACATGTAACCCGCGTGCAATGTGAAAGACTCAACACATCTTATGCTAAATGAACAATTGTACAATTTCGCTTTGCATCTTTGTTCAGTTTAATAATAAAAAGGCAACGTAATGGAAAACATATACGTACATTTTTTTTGCAGTTCGTCTTGCAAATGCCGCACCGTGAACCAGCTAAATAAACAAAGTGTGCTCGCAAAATGAAAATGCCAGACGCTTTGACGGAATGTTTACAGAAATAAAAAGAAAACGACGATGACGACGAAAACAGAAGAAAAAGAAGAGATGAAAAAAGATTGCACACACATCATGGCCTTTGTAATATGATGATCACCGGTAACGGAAAAACGCAGATCAAAATGAAACATTCCACAAACAACAATTGTTTCGCTTTTTGAATATTTTCTCTCTGTGCAAAAAAATTGGTTTTTTCTTCTCTCTTTTCAAATGCAAGAGAAACAGTAAATATTATTTGAATTCTATTTTGTTCTACAATGCCACAGCATTGAAAATACATACAAACACACATTCTGTTGGAATAACTTTTGAGTTGCGCGCTCGGTTTCAATGGAGCAAAAAAGTGAAGATTGAACCACTGAAAGGGCAAAAACTGCTTTGAAATTATCTCTCTCTCTATCTCTCTGTATGTGCCTCTCTATGTACAATTCAGTGAATCGCAAGGGTTATTGCAAAATGTATGTGTATGCATGGTTGCCGCACTAACCATCCCATTGTGAACTTATGAAACACTGATGATGATGTTGATGGTGGCGGCTTTTACTGCGGATGTCGATATGCGCCACAATAATTTGCTACACTTTTGGTCCGGGTCGAAAATAGTAGAACAATTATTATTTCATAGCCCATAACATCGTTTCTATCGTACCAATAAAATTTGTAAAAGAATTGAGCGTCGCAACATATGATTTCTCTGTGCAAGCGAAAAGCAACTGAAAAAAAATCATTCAACTGTAATGAAAATGACATCCATAATAATTCCATTTTAATTAAAATTAATCGATTTATACGTAACCATTTTATTTCGATTTAAATGCGGGACTTTTTCCAATGTCCAAAAAAAGAACTCTGAAAAATTTAATTTATTGTTTTTTGAAATGAGAAAAAAAAATCTCACTCACACTCACACAAAATTTAGTCGTTTCACTTTGTTAGAGCGGCGTTGTGTGTCTGAAATTGGCATTTCATGTGGATATTTATGGTAAATGTGCGTGATCGCTTTATTTGACAGCACAGAACCTATCCCATAACTATGGATTGAGGTCAATTTCATATCAAATGAAGCAGAAAAGAGCAAATACCCCATTAAAATGTC